ATATAAAAATAAAGAGATAAAATAATAAATAAAAATTCAATACATAGATCATAGTTTAACTAAAGATTTGAACTTATAATTTCCACCATAACGACCATATTTAAACGACCGACAGCATGACTCTCTGGTCCCCAGTGGAGTCGCCAAGATGTCATAACCATTTTTTTAGGTATATAAATTATATATTGTTTTAAAAACGATTATGATTTTTATTTTTGAAAAATTGTGATTTTGGATTAATTGAAAAATATTGAAAAATGAGTCGCCATCGACCTTTGGATTAGGTAGGTCGAATACCCAAAAAACGTCTTTTTAAAACAATTTTAAGAAAAATTATTTTTTTTAGACAACAGTGGTCTGCGTTATCATAAAAACTTTTAAGGGTTAGGAAGTCGATTACGTATGTGAAAAATATAAACACTCACAACGCCCGAAAATCGGTACTTAGTCGCTTATATATCGTCGTAATAGTAAAACTTAAAGTTTGAATCAAAAGTAAAATTATGATCTATTTATTGAATATTAGTTAAAATAAAAGAAATCCTTCACTTGATAAGAAATCCCGAGATTTGCAATCTTCCATCGGGAAAGCTATCTCACCTATTTCTCATCCGTAAAGAATATTCTATCTTTTGAATTACCACCAAATAATATCGAAATGGATATAAAATAAAATATACTTTATTCATCTAAAACATATATATAATTAATATTAACATAAAAACGTTAACAAATTAAACATTATAAAAAAAAGAATAATAAAAAATATAAAAAATGAAATAAAATTTTAAGGTACATAATAAGTAAAGTGAATATCTAATGCATAACTAAGTCTAACCACAATATCCCAAACTAATTGAAATTTATTAAACAATAGTATGACTATTAATCAATATATAGACATTTATATATATATATTCTAATATTAACTCATACTAGACAAATATTTAAAGAAAATAAAATAAATAATAATAAAAAACAACAAAAGTAATAAAATATTACACATATATTTAACAAAGGATCTACACAAACCTAAACAAAAATAACAGTGACCAAGCAATCAAATAACCCAAACAAGTCTTAAACAGTGACTACAAATTACACTAGGAAAAACTTAGGTATCAAATGCGTAAATTACCACTTTCTTTATACTATAACCAAAGGACTAAAATAAAAAAAAGAAAACATACAGTGTAAATTTAGTATTTAAACCAAACAGCAAAACAGTGATCAAAATGTAAACTTTATAAACACAGAGTACAATGTTAAAATTTACAAAATATTACTGCAAGGTGACCAATATATAAACATTACAAATATGTGGTATAAAATACAAAAATAAATAAAATACAATAAATGGCCATATCATAAACATACATAACAGGAGCCCCGGTTACATAGTTTACCCATGTTGAAATTACAACCCGACCCTCGACCTAAACGGTGCCGTTTTGGACTCGGTTTATAAGGCCAAACCTAAGGCCCTTACTCGGTGAACCTCTCATTTCTCATTTGTCTCCCTCTCTCGAAATCCAAAGAACCACAGAAGCTCTCAACCCTCACCCCTCTGCCCATCCTCAGCCGAGGATTAAGACCCCAAAACTCCCCGGCCACCGTAGATCGGTGGCCACGGGGAGCAACATCATCATCCTCTCACCTTCTAAACAACCCCACCCCAGGCGAGTCGTGACCCAAAACCCCACTGTGCTTCAAACCCTAACGACCCTAGAAGAGAAAAAAAATTACCTTTGGGATGGTTCTTCCATGTTCCGATGAGATGAGTAAGGGCTAGGTTTAGCATGTATTTTCTTTTCTCTCTTTTCCTTCTTTTCTATTTTCTCTCCTTCTTTTTTTTAAAACCCGAATCCCCTCTCTGAATCCAAATCTCCTCTTTTTATCTGATTGCATGCCTCTGTTTGATGCTGTTGCCGAGAAAATAGGATAATGATATCCTATTTCCATTGATGGACTAGATAGGATTTTACTTAGATTTTTTTTCTAATTTTTGTCTGTGCTTTATGCAATTTGATGGATGGCCATCACTGTTTGGCGCAGGACTGTCTACGGCGGCATCAGAGGCTGCCGGGGTGGCTCGGCTGGGCAGCTGCAACATCGGTGCGCGACAGTTAGAAGGTTGAAAGGTTGGTGGCTGGAGCTGGAAGGTCAAACGGCTGAGCTGATGATATTTTAGGGTTTCAAACCCTAAGCTCTGTGTGATCTGGACCGTTGGATGGGTCCAGATCCAACGGCCAGAAGTGAGGTGGCTGGAGCAGAGAAGAAGAAACCCTAGAGTTAGGGTTTTATTGGGCTTGGTTTGTAACCGAGAATGGGTTGAGTGATTCGGCTTCAGGGTTGGGCTGCTGGTTTTGTTCTTTGGGCTCCAGAATAGGGCTGCAAAAAATGTAATTTATAATAATAATAATAATAATAATAATAGATAGAAAAAAAAACTGGACAAAAACGGGTGTTTACAGAAGCCAACGTAAGTAAAGCCTTAGTTACAATCACACAAGGCAAAATCAAGGATGGAGAATAATGTTACACACAGAAACTCAATAATGAGATGGCAACAATCTTGTGGTGTAGAGATAAGAGCAAACATGGAGACAAACCCAACAAAACAAGAAGTGTTAAACGTGACCTTCAAGGCAAATACGAGATGACGCACAACTTGACTCCAAGGAAAAATGCATGGGGATAACCGTTGAAGACGATAAGGTGGGAACTGAGGTGGCTGCGAAGTAACCTTGCCGAGAACCATGATAATCATCGGCTAGAATTGTCGCGTGCTTAGGAACCTGGTGACAATTCCCGAGCTTAGGAGGATTGTAACCTGCAAAAGACCGCATTTATTGTTCTTGTGTGATACTCGATTGTAGAAGAATAAAAGAGAGAATTTAAAGCTTCAAATGGGCATGAAAGGTTGTTTTATGGTCAAAAGATAGAACTTCTGTACAGAGCTAATTCTGATGTGGAACGAGGAGGTCTCGGTTAACCTCCTCCTATACTCAAACCACGTATCGATGTGGAAGTCTGCTACTAGTAGGAACATTTCCATTGCACTAACTTCTATGATCTTTGTGAGGGATCCAAGAAGAGTGAAAGCTGGAATTTGTGACTGAAAAACTTTAACTTCTATGGTCTTCTGTACAGAGCTAATTTTAACTTCGATGTGAACATTTCCACATCCATGCAACATCCAATCTACCTTGGCTCAATGGAGGAGATTTCAACGAAATTCTCTAGCATAATGAGAAGGGGGATTATCTCATATACGAAAAACTTTAGGAATGTCAGGAGATATCGTAACCTTTGGGATTTGAAGCCTCGATTTGAGTGATTCACAAATCACAATAAATTATATAGAATAAGTTGTAAACCACAACATAATAGGGGGCTTGTCCTACTGGTATAAGCGCACAATCGATATTTCATGTTGTTGGTTCATCGGGAGTGATTCAATATCAAAATATTTTTTAATTAGAAGGTGATAACACGTGTTATTATCTGATTAAAGAATTAAATTAAAATCATGATTAAATTGATTGAATGCATAAGTAAAGAAGACCAAATATGTAAATTTACAAAAATTTAACTATCACGCCAACTCCTCAATCAAATATTAATGATGGATGGATTGATTAAATCACCTAAATAGTTAAGTGGTCTAATTGATAAAATTAAAATATCATAGTGAAAATAGGATAATAGTTAGTGATCATGAGTATATTTTACTCTTTATTTAGTAAAAAATATGTAACATGTGTTATCAATGGAATAAATGAGATAAAATATTAATTTTTTAAATATTAATATTAAAAATAAATAAATTTATTAAATTAATCAATTAATAAATTAAATATTGGTTATTATATTTAAAATAAAATATACTATATTTTATTATTCTAAAACAAATCGGCCCACTTTACCCATTAATAGAAGTTATTGGGCTTACCAAGAGATTGACAGACATAACTCATAAGTTGAGCAAGATGGGTTCATTCTTGAGAAGGGAAAGCACCACGCACTGTTTCTGTTTAAAAACGTGGAGGAAACAAAAGCAACTTTTATGACCACTTAACTATGATGTTAGTATCAATCTGACCACCATATTTCTAATTTTGGCAGTAAGACCCTATAATTATTTAAGTGGTTTCAGTGTAGTTACATGACTTTACAAAACAAACAACATAGCTGATTGGCTGTTATTGGATAGCGGTGAGTCAGAGATCTACATAAACTACGCTATTTATTTTGTATCAAGTGGCTACAATGAAATAACTTAAATAGTTCTGTGGTCATATCAACACTATCCTATAGTTAAGTGATCATTTAAGTAGTATACCCATGTTTTTAGGCTTAAAGTAAAAAAATCCTTAAATTGTTTTTTTCCCTTTAAGTCCCTTGACTATTTTTTTGGTCAAATTAAGTTCTTAAACTATTATTTATAACCATTCTAAGTCATATTTTTCAGTTAAATTTTTTTCTTTTAGCTAATGAAAAGTTGACATATCTTATAAAATTAGATGATTTTTGACAAAAAAAAATAATTTAGTAACTTTATAAAAAAGAGACATAACTTAAGGACTTATTTTTATCAAAAAAATTGTTTAACTGTGATTATATATAATAATTTAAAGACTTATTTTGATAAAAAATAGTTTAAGGGCAAAAGAAAAATGGCATAATTTAGAGATTTTTTTTTAATTTGGGTAAACTCACGTCTACAATTATCACTTTTGTTTTGTTTGATCACCTAATTTTTTTTTAAATCATACTTAATGTTACTGTTAATTTTTAACATGATTAACCAAATGAAATAAAAATATAACATTAAATATAATTTAAAAAAAACAATTAACTGATAAAAACAGAACAAAAGCTATACTCGAGTTACTAAACTCGTAGTTTAAAACTTTTTTAAATTAAAACTTTTTTAAATTAAAACTTTTTTAAATTAAAACTTCCAACGTAAGCTTCTCACTAGCTTGCTTTCGCTTCTCCAACAAGACAAAGACACCCTTTAAAGTCCGTTTCAATTCTTACAAACAAAACGCATTCTAGTTTCCCGCTACTTCACTTTTATTTCATTAATCTCCCCCAAAATCACAAACCAAAAGGAAACTCATACCCCAAAATATCTGCTAAATCTCAGCTTTTAATTTCTTGCTTCTTTTGGGGGTTGGAGTTATCCGAGGCAAAGTTTTCAGTTAGAGAGGAGGTTTCCTTTTGTATTTTGTTTTAAGGTAATTCTGGGTTTCTTCACTTCACCTTGGTTTTGTGTTTTATGTACAATTCTAGAGATCATACTGCTCTGTTTGCCTTGCTTGGAAACCATGGGAAATTTTTGTGATCGCTAAACTGCAACACGGGTTTCCCAAGTTTGAACTTAGAGCGTGTGTGTGTAGTGATAGTTGAAGTACTTAATGGCTTTGCTGGGAGAATATTCATAAAAGGAGGAAAATTTCACGGTGAAACCTTTGATTAAATGGAGCCCTAATTTTTGTTTTAATGGGATTCGCGTGTGTTTCTTTTAAGGCTTTTTGGACTGCTCGGAAATTTACAGGCTAGCTTATATTTGTACTTGTGGTTGACACTTGGTAGCTGAGTTGAGAAGATTATGATGGAGGTCAAGAAGGAGAAAGAAGAGTTTTATGAAGATTTAATTGAAGAAGATACATCTGCTTCACCTTCTTCAAATTTCGACAGCCATTTTGATACTACTACAAGTTCAGCTTCTCTTGAAGGGTATGTTTCTTTTACTACAATGTCCCATGAATTGCTTCTCTTGAACATTTTTAATTAGATTGGTAAAACTTGTCATTTTGATGTAAGCTTTTATTGCTATAGCAGAAGGGTAACTGGTCCAACTAGACGGTATAGGAGAGGAGGGTGGACTAAAGAAGAGGTTATTCACTAGAGACTGGTGTTTCTTTTTGGTTTTATCTCAATGTTGTATGTTTTCATGCCTTTTGACTTTAGCTGGAAGTGTCCTTAAGTTGGCTAAGATTCGTGAATAAAATGATGAATACATTGTTGTTGGTTTAATGCTTTACCTCTCTTTTTTGAACCAGAACTTAGCCTCAGAGATGTTTTCTGACATTTCTATGCACATGATTATGGGTGGACAGGATAGTATTTTGACGGAAGCTGTGCGAAAATGCAATGCAAGGAATTGGAAGAAAATAGGTTGGTATGAAATTTTAACCTTTCATCTGTATCCATGTTGTCTATGTAGGACTCTCTTAATTCCCACTTTTCTCAGGCCATAATATGTCTTTCCAGCTGCTTTTGAATACCTATTTTTTTATGGTATTGTTCCCACATTTGCTATGGCTGTTCGGGTTGATCATGAATCTCGAGAACTTATCCTTTAGCACAATGTTACTCTGAAACTGCCATTAGCTATAGATGAACACTTCGTTTTGCTACTAGTTTTCTAGTTGTTAATAAGGATGGAGTTATTAAGATGTTGAATTAAGGTTTCATATTATTCCTTAAGCTAAGCAGTTGCACCAACTCTTACTTGCCTTTCCTCCCCTCTATAGTTTTTCCTTGACATGTAAAACTTGCAACTTTGAGCAGGAATTGGAAAAGGGTTAAATGCAGCAGCTTATTTTCCTTGCAATTCTGAAAATCTAGTTAATATTTGTTACATGCAGCTGAATTTCTCCCGGGAAGAACAAATATCCAGTGCTTACATCGGTGGCAAAAGGTCCTCAATCCTCGAATCTTGAAAGGACCCTGGACAAAGAAGGTTTGAACTTGAAGAGTATGTTTTCGTGAGATTCAAAATTTTACCAACATTGATACGTGACTTCGGGCTGGTGTACTTTTGCATTTCAGGAGGATGATTGTATTACTAAGTTGGTTGAAAAGTATGGTTGTCGGAGATGGTCTGTCATTGCAAAGTTATTGGGAGGTCGCATAGGCAAGCAATGCAGGGAAAGGTCAGCTCATTATATTCTGATATGCCAATGGCCAATTTAGACTAAAATAGAAACTTCCCTTCTTCTAAATATGACAGGGGAAAGCAGAAAGCTAGTGTCTGTTTACAATTCAGACTTCAAAGTAGATAAATGGCTAAGATTTATAACTTCTTCATATTTGCAGTTATTTATTGTTGGTTAACCAGGAGTGCCTTGCAGCGATTACGATTTAAGCAATAAAAATAATTTATTTCAGGTGGCACAATCATTTGGATCCATCAATAAGAAAAGATTCATGGAGAGAAGAAGAGGAGGCCATTCTGACATACTATCACCAAATATATGGGAACAAGTGGACCAAATTAGCTGAGCTGCTACCTGGAAGGTATGCATTTATTTAGTTGCTAACAAAATTGTTTATATAAAAAAATATGGGTGGAAATATTTGTACATATGTTTACAGCTAATGTCGTATGTATATCGAATATAATTTTTAACATTTGATATTTACCTTGCTTGTATCTTTTTTTGTGTGTGTGTAATTTACAGGACTGACAATGCAATAAAAAATCATTGGAACTGTTCCGTAAAGAAGAAGCTTGGTTTGGACTCACCTCATCGTTATGCAATGGACATAGATGAAGGATCTTCTGATTTTCAGGACTGGGAAATTACACCAAAATGGTTGAAGGTCAAAGAAGAGAGACAGGGTCTTGATGAAACAAAACCTGTCGATCAAAATGGTGCTGATGATTATGGTACTGATACATGTAATTTAGATTTGGTTCTGGGAATAGCAAATCGAGCAGACAAAGTAATGTCGGAAAGCACAGGTCTTCAGAAGTGCCATATGAGCGGATAACTCGACTTAATAGAGTGCGTTATGATGACAAAACCAATCGTATCATTGATGATTCAATCACTGGAACTGTAAAAAGGTACGCTGAGCAGAGTAAGATACATGAACCTCGATCAGCCTCAAGCAGAATAGATTCTCAGGATAGTTATGATCTTCTTTCTTCGATGCCGGTCGGTTCTGCATCAACTTTCAAATCTATGGCAGATAAATGTCAGGTCGACCTGGAAAGGGAAATCAGAGCATGAATACAGTGAACTCAAGTGAGTTCTTGTTGCATAATGAGCCATCTCAGCCGGAGAATTCTGCTCAAAAACTGGGAGGAAGCTTCTCTCCCAACAGATTTAGTCCAGAATCTATATTGAGGATTTATGCATTGACCTTCAAGAACACTCCCTCTATCATAAATAAGAGAAGTTACAGTAAGACTTGGAATGGAAACACCTCAGAATCCGCTGCCTCCTCTCCAGTAAGGTCTTTTTGGGTTTTTTTATGTGGAAGAAACGTGAGAATCAGATACCAGAATCCCTATATCCATCAAGAAAAATGAAAAACCAGAGCAACATAGTATAGTGTAAGAGTACGTGCGTTTGGGAAGTCTAAACAACGATAATTTAAGGTTAAAAAAGATGAAAATCGAGTACGACAAAAAATGTTATAATAATAATATTTTAAATTGAATGCAATTTAAAATGTTATACTTTTTATAACATGTTTAGTTGTAACCTAAAATATTAAGAATGTTGTCAACCGAAAAATGTACAAAGAAAACATTTTAGATTATGTTCAATCAAAAATGTTATATACAGCATAATTATCCTATACGTTTAGCTTATGGTGAGTCGCAGTATATTCTCCCATCATTTCTTCTCTACCATGAGTGTTATGGAATCTTGTATTTTTTAAGTTTTATACTAGTTAAACACCCAATAATATGAACTGCCATACGTGTAGAAAGTTGTAGCTTTTTGGAATCAAGTTTTTTTTTTTTGGGGGGGGGGGGTTGGGGGTGTTTTCTATTTGCTTTTGCTTTGAGAGGTACAAACTAAGGATGTAAAAAAACTGATACAATCTACAAAATTGATTGAAATTTACTTGAGTTAAAATTTTTTGACTCGAGGTGATAATAATTTGAAATTGCTTTGAGTTCGAACTGGTAAAATTATTTGACTCGAGGTGATAGTAATTAGAATTCTTTTTGAGTTTGAACTGGTGTTGATCTGATTATGAGTTGGATTTGAAAATAATGGATTTGAACTCGACCTAAAAATTACATGAATTTGAATTGAACTGATACTATGATAATCCAATATGATTTGCATTCGATCTGATATAAATTTGAATCCGAGATTAACTTGGTAAATAATTAATATTACTTAACTTGTTATGAATATGAAGTGTAATTGACTCGATTTATAAATGATTTGATTTGTTATTTAATTGATTTGATACTTATTTGATTGTGTATTTACCTAACTTATAAGTTAAGATTGATGAAATTATGAGATTTTTAATTTATGATATTATATTATAATAAAATACGTCTCCTTAATTAAAGAGTATATGATTCATTAAATTAATATGTTCACCTTTTATATTTATGAATTGTAGGTTATAAATAATTTCAAAAGCTTTATTAAATTTTAAAATTAACAAGAAATAATTCTTTAAATTTAAATTAAATGGTTAATTATGATAATTAAATTAATAAATTTATTTTATATTAATCATAATCATTATATTAAAAATTTTAATTATGACCATTAAATTAATAAATTTACTTTCTATATTAATTATAATCATTATTTAATTTTTTTTAATTATAATCATTAAATTAATTTTATTAAATAATTTATTTATTGGTTATGACTTTATTAGATTAAAAAATTATATTATGTAAAATTAGTTTAAATATCAGTAAGTTTATTTTTTATGTAATATTTGATTAATAATTTAAATATAATTTAATTTAAATTTTAATATATATATATTTAAAGATGAATTTACTTGAAATCGAAAGATTTACTAATTTCACAAATACTAAAACTAACAATTTATAAATGAACAAATTAAATATAATACAATTCAATACACTAAAATTACAATAAAATCAATTAAATAAATTTATGTTACTCTCTGATTTTATAGCAAAAATTTTATAAGGGAAATTTGGCCTCTAAATATTATTTCAGAATCGGGTTTCTAGGTCCGAGTGTCCACACGCCATACTTTAATGGGTATTGTAGTATTGTCTCAAAATTTGTAAATTAATGCAATTTAGTCTAATATTATATTAATTTAAGCTTTAAATTTTCAATTATTTAAATTTGATCCCTACGTATTAATTATAAATTTATTAATTTAGTCCTAAATTATATTATTTTCAATGTTATTAATTATAATTTTTAATATTTTGATGATAAATTTAAAGATAAATTTTTTTTAATGATTATAATTTTTTATTATTTTTACTTTTATTTTTTCAAAAATTAAATTTCATTAAATTAAAACTATCGATGCATGAATGTTAATGTTATAACTTATTAATGTATGAATGTATAATGTATGAATTGATATATATATAGAATCATGTTACACAATATAAAACTATTTTAATTTTACACAAATTTAGGATCGTTGGATGAGTGAAAAATAGATAGTTGAGATTACAGTAGAAAATGAAATGATATTCACTAGGAAAAAAACAATGAGTCAATCTCTTACATTTATTTTCACTCATCCGACGTTCTAAATCTGTGTAAAACTAAAAGCGTTATACATTATGTAAGTGGATCCTAACAGATTTAGGACTGTTGGATGAGTGAAAATAGATGACTAAGCTTAATAGTACAAAATGAGAAGATATTCACTGGATAAATAAACAAGGAGTCAATCTCATCCATTTATTTTCACTCATCCAACGGTCCTAAATATGTGTAAAACTAAAGAGTTTTACATGTGTAAGTGGATCCTAACCCATATATATATATATATATATATATATATATATTATGTTTGCATAATTTATTAATGTATAATGTATGTATGATATATTATGAATTGTTATGTATATATATTTTATGTATGTAAAGTGTATGTATGTATTTATAATTAATGTATAATGTATGAATAGTTTATTATGTATAATGCATGTGTATGCATGTATGTATTTATTTATGCATGTCTATATCCTTTATTAATGCATGATATATATGTATAATTTATTCATACATGTTTGTATGTATGTATTTATATTTTGATGCATGTATGTATGATAATGATAATGATATGTATGTATTGTATATATGTGTGATATGTATTATATTGATGCATATATACGTATGATAGACATACATACATGTCTACATGTGTACATACATACATGCATGTAAGGCATGCATCATACATTCATGTATATATTATATATACATGCGTACATGTTTTACATGTATGCATACATATATACCATCATACATGCATACATTTTACATACATACATACATGCATACATTTTGCATACATATATACATGTTGGTTCTACATAGTACATGCATCATACATGCATCTCATATATACATTCTCATGCATCAATATATTTTTATAATATTTTCTAAATAAAAGTATGGATTAAGATTTTAAATTTTTCTCGTTAACTTTTAAAATAAATGTAATTTAGATCAATTTGGTTTTAATTCCATTTTATATTTTACAATTATTTCAATTGGCCCATGTATATTGTTTAATTCATTAAATTTATAGTTTGTAATTTCATGTTTGTTCAACTTAATCCTCAAAATTATATTTTTATCCAAAATTGGCTCATACTTATTTATATTTTTGTAATTTACTCCAAACCTTATAAATCACATCATAAACTTCATTTCAAACCCTATAAATTATATCATAATCTCCAAAACCTTATAAACTTTTGTTCACCAACTTCTTAAATGAACGCAATTTAGTCCATTTTTATATTAATTTCATCTTCACATTTTACAATTGTTTTGATTTGATCCCTATGTGTTGTTTAATTTATTTAAATTTCAATTTGTAATTTCATGTTTGTTCAATTTAGTCCGTAAAATTATGTTTTTATCCGAAATTAGCTCATACTTATTTATATTTTTGTACTTTATTCCAAACCTATAAATCACGTCATAAGGTAAAAAATTTAAAGAGTGAGCTAAAAAGGCCAGTGTGCTCCTTTTGGTGTATTAAAACATACAAATAAAATACTTCAATAAAAATCAATTCATCAGACATGTTTTGAAAACATGAACACTACCCCCATTCGATCACCAGAATGTGCAGGTTCCCCCGAACCATACAACCATCTGTACACCCGATAAGGTCTTTATACGTATAGCATAAGGACCTATGGTAGGACTTACCCTATGCACAAAGTAGAGGAACCTGCGGTAAAGTCTTACAAGTCATAGACTAGGTCTGAGATACTTCTTCCAATAATACCCACATGACAGTAATAAATGTGTATGAATCTGTGTGAGAAAAGGTAGTTTAATTCATTAAAACATGAAAATATCCCATATTCCAAAATCAGATACAAAAGTACTGTAATCGGAGATCATATCAGAAATATACAAATCAATATCAAATCAACAATGTTTAGAAAATCAAATATCAAGTCATAAAAATATTTAGCATCATCAGAATTCCAATACAGTTTAGATAGGCAGCACAAAATAGTAATGTAACACCATCAAGAAACACACATGTATCGATTTGAGTAGTCTGATCGGGTAGCCTATTGATGGGTTGTCTATCACGATATGCGGTAGAGCTAGATCCTACGAATCGGAAAAATTATATCATAATCATGATATGAATAATAATAACATCTATTTCAACGATTTACAAAAACTTACGAGTAACTCTCGAAGTTCGTGAATCGTGTGGATCTGTCGGCGGGAAGCACTGGATCTAGTCGACCCTCGATTGGGAGAAACATGAGTACCTTCATAAAAATATATTTCCAATCAATTTCATAATCAACTCCTAAATAAATAAGCAAAAATGCTAAATATACTAAGCATTTTCGGGTTAACGGACTCGATTAAGACTTTCAGGTCAGAATTTGATGAAACAGATCATAAAATCAAACTTAGGACATCGAAAAATGTCAAGAGGGAGGTTTTCAGAAAAATTCAATGGCTGTCAATGATCAATGGTCAATGGTCAACTGTTGGTCTGGTTCGGTTGGGCCTGTTTGAGTTTGAGCCACACAGATTGGATCGGATCGGTATGGGTCAGGCAAACGGGTCTGATCGGGTCAAGTGTGCTCGATTGACCCAGTTCTAGAAGCCCTCCAGGAGGTAGACAAGCCCCATGCACAGTGGCGGCGCATGAGAGTGCATAGGGTGTCTTTCTGGGTTGGAAAAATTACGTAAAAATTCCTATGATTGCACTCTGCTTATTAGAGTTGGGGGACGAGGGTTTCGTGACCTTCATGGTTTCAGCTTTACTCAGGAAGGTGCTTTGGTGCTTTATTCGTCATCCAGAGAGTTTGGTATCCCGAGTCCTTGCTGCTAAGTAT